CGCAGGAGAGAGCCACAATGCTGGGGAGAAAGTTTCCCCTCACACAGCCGGGACTAGGGTCCCTCCTGTTGTTTACTTCCCGAGAGCTGGTTGGATAAAGGCAGGTCAGGAGCAAGGAAGGTGCTTCTATAGGCAGGATGGCCTCCCAGCCCTCCCCTTCCTCTCCTCTAACTGTGCTAATGGAACACTGGGATGGGGGTTGTGGTGGCAGGTGGGATGGTTTGGGAGCTGGTGACTGAATGTAGAAACAGCAACAAAACACCTCAGGGCTGTCACCCCTCCAGATTACCTCCCTCAGCTTGCCTCTCACTGTCCCCTCCCTCAGTGGCCTCCTTGCTGCTCCTGCAACCTGCCATTCAGGCTCCCTGTTCAGGGCCTTGGTACTCTGCCTGCGCCACTCATCCCCCAGGTCCCCAGGTGGCTTGCGTTTCTAAATCTAAAACTGCACTGTGAGTGTGAGCTCTGAGCAGCAGGGCAGCCGGTATGAATCCCACATGGGCCAGTGACGCTGCGCCCTCTACAGCTAAGATGGTGAAAAACAGCTCGAACTGGAGCTGGGCTGCTGTGAGTCACCAGCGACAGCGTAGGCTGCAGCCCCTGCTGCAGTGGGCTGCCGTAAGCTACCGTGAGTGGCCAGCAGCGGGCGTGAGCTGCCTTGAGCTGCCGTGAGCGGCCGTCCAATGGCCGGCGACCAATTTGCCTCAGCCGGGAAGAGCGCAATGATCACAATACCAACTTGGGCCAGTGAAGTGACGTCCTCCACAACTAGACTGAAGAACAAAAGAACAGCAACTTGTCTGTTTCCCTTCCCCGATTCCCCAATGCTGTTTCCTCTCCCAGTTCCCCAATAAAATCTTAAAACCCCCCCCCCAAAAAAAAAACTGCACTGTCTCCATCCCTGAGTCCTCTCTCCTGACTGCCTCATAGCACTTCGAAATATCTGACATTATAAACAGTGTTTGTTTACTGCTTGTCTCCCCACAAGAATGTCAGTTGCATGAGAGCACCAGTTTGATGACTGGTTTATTTATTTAATGCCATGTCCCCAGTGCTGAGAACAGTGCCTGGCACACAGTAAAAGCCTCAAAAAATGTTTTTTTTTAATGAATGAAAGAAAATAGGGGGAGGTGGAGATGGTCAGAGGCTGTTTAAGGCCAGTTTCTCCAGGACACCACCAGGGAACTGGTACGAGACGCGAGCAGGGCTGGGTTCCTGCTGAGTGTGGTCAGGTACAAGCATTGACTGTCGGAAGGAAGGCTCTACCTACCAACCCACCTACAGGGTGAACTCTCAGGAAAGGCGGACGTGGTCTCTGTGGATGAGAACAGACAAACAAAATAACCTTTAACCACAAAACAATGAGGTCCTCTCTCAGGAGTAAAGAACACGGTGATTGAGATAATCTGCATTTGAGAACTCTGCCTGTGTAGTCACCATCTACAAAGAAATGTCAGTTTTTAAAGCCAGTGTACCAAGAGTTTCCAGGATTGCCAGGTCTCCTCTCTTAGATGGGGAAAGTGTTAGTCACTCTGCTATAATGCTCTCCCCGCTCTGGGTAGATTCAGAATCACTGGGCTTCTTTGGATACAGTGACTAGGAAAGCAAGTCAGTCATCACAAGCAATAGAAGCTGTAGGTCAAGTGTCACCGACTAATCAGCCTGTCATTGGTCAATTACCCATCCCCACGAAGAGGTGCCACTGATCTAGTTTCCCATCAATAAACATCTATCTGGGCCCATCAGAGGCTGCTAACTACGGCCTGCCACGCTAGCCAGCATCGTCCACAGGCATTGGTGGTCAAGAACTCCCTCTCCCTTCCTTAATAATGTCACAGAAGAGGCAAATGCAGTTCCTGACAACATAATGTGAGTTTCACAGATACGTGTCTCTGGGAGCACTCAGCCAGTTATACAGGGCTTCAATTGCATGGATTTTCTCACTGCAGAAACAATAGCTGGGCGTCAGGAAGCTGGAGGCTTCCCACTGTGCGGAGATACACAATTCTGCCTTTTGTTGTGCTCATGCTCTCATCATCCCTCCTCTGAGTCAAGAAAAGAAAAATTATTTGGGGGGGACCATTTTTATTCCACATTTAAAGAAAACCAAGTGGGCACTGTTCTCTCTTGCCTTAAGTCCCAAATACCCCTTTTTCTGGAGTCAGATTCAACATCTCTGATTCTTTGAGAGGAGCTTGAGGCCAAGGTGGCCTTGTCACATGAAGAGACTGTTTGTCTCTGAGCTGTCACCTTGGTAAAGACCTCACGAGGTCCCTGTTGGATCTAAAATTCCAGGTCTCCTACTATATGCATGATAATTTCCCCTCTTACCTTGGCAGACTACCTCATCTGCACATTCAATCTGTGAAAGGACGCTTATTCTGAATTGCTACAGGTTTACATATCAGGTGAGGCTGGGAGGAGGAAGTGAGTAAACAGTTATAATACAAATCTGACCAATGCTCTGATAGGAATTACATAGAGAATGCATGCGAGATCACTGAAGAGGAATGTCTACATCAGCCCAGGAGATGAGTGGAGGTTAAAGAAGCTTCCCAAAGGAGTGGGGTATTGAAGGGGAAATAAGAGCTGGCTAAAAAGGGGGTGAAGAGAAGGTCCTAAGAGACACAAGCCATGAGAACAGCATGTTCAAAGACCTGATGGCATGGGGGTGACACTCATGTGCAAAGCTGAGAGGAGCTGGCCAGGCTGAGTACGTGTAGGGTGGGTGGGGAAGCAGGAGACGCGGTACAGCCAGAAGCATGTCAGGTCATTCTTCAGTGCCTTCATCTGAACTTTCTCCTGAAGGCAAACAGTAGCCCTGAAGCCTCTTAGGAAGGGGCATGACCACATCAGATTTGTGGTTAAGACCATGGGAGATGGCTGTAGGTGGGGAAGGAAGGGCTGGATGAAAGTCTGGAAGACCAGGTGGAGAAGAGAAACTACACAGGGGCAAGCAGGAGCTGGGGTGATGGCAGGGGGGATGAAGAGGAGGGGAGGGTTTGTGAGGCGTGGAGGAGCTGGTATTGACGGAACTTTACAGCCGACTGGTTGAGGAAGGAGGTGAAGAAGAAATTTAGAAAGATTCCCATGTTTTTGGCTCAGCTGATGGATGGGTGGGGGGTGCCACTGAATGAGATGTGGAATGACTGTGAGACAGCTTGAGCAGGGAAAGGGGGGGATAATGGAATTCCATTTCTGACATATTGGTTTGAGATGCACATGGAACATTTTTAGGTTGGGGGAGGGGTATGGGGTACCAAGTAAACAGACAGAATACAGGAAATATTAAAAGAGAGTGGGCAGAGCAACTAAGCTGCCAGTCTGCTTCCATCTTCATTGTTAAGAAGACTGGTCTTCAAATGAGAAATGGCAGAACAAACATAATAAAGAGAAAATTGAAGCCCCAAATAGGTGAAGTGAAAGAAAGAGAGTATCTAGTCAATTTAAATGATTTCAAGTCTCCTGGCTCAGATGAGTTACACCACAAGCCTGCTGAAAGAAATTGCAGATGTAATCTCAGAGACACGATTGGTAATCTTCAAGAAATTGTGGAGACCATAAGGAGTGCCGGTGACAAGGGAAGGACAACTGTTTCCCAGATTTTTAAAGTGAAGAGGGATAGACTGTAATGAGAAATATTCAGATAAGTTTCACACCATCGATGACAAAAATTCTAGAGTGGCTTATAAAATAGATGGCTTATGAATACTTTAGTTAAAGCGTGCAGCTGAGAAAAAGGAAGGCAGGGGTGTTGTTTGCTATGTGACGGAAGTTTATTTGTATCAGGAGTTTGTGCAGATGGTGGCTGGTCTCCTCCCAGCTCCTAAGCACAAAGCAAGCTGTCTGGTCTGCAGGATAAACTCAAGGCTTCTCTATCTGTGACCTTTGTATAGAGTACTCACTCTGTATGTGGCCCTTTAGGAAAAGGGGTTGACAATTTAAATGAAGAAATCCACAGTCTGAATTCCCCAAGAAACCCACCCTCACTTCTCAGGGCACCCTCAGGAACTGGCACAAGCAACAATACCCCTATTGTTGTTAGCCTAAACATCCATAAATGTTCACCTTTTAGAATCCTACTACTTTATTTTTGGTGCTATTTCTCTCTTTATACTTACTGACTTTAAAATGAGATCAGGAAACAACAAAGCAAATACGGTGGAGAAAATGATGGTGTGAAGGCAGCCACCACCAACATCTCTATCTGGCAGGCTAAGACATAATGTAAAATATTTTATCTAATGTTAAATATATATATATATATATATAAAATATATAAATGTTAAATATATATATTTAACATACATATGTATACACACACGCGCACACACACACACACACACACACACACACACAGAAACACACACACACCATTAGTCTTTCAGAGACCTTCTTAGAACATTAAAAAAAAAAAAAAAGTAGCCTATTCAAGACCCAGATGGCTCTCTTGAACTAAAATAAAAGTTTATCCTCTGGGGAATGTCACCAGTCTCACATTTTAAAATTATATGGTCCTATAAATCAAGCAATAGTAGGTTAAAGGTCCCTTTTTAAAAGAAAATGAAAACAACTACTAAAAACCAGAGAGAAAGGACATTAGGCAGATGTTTTAGAGGTGCCACATTTAGGTCGGTTTCGTTCCTATGTAGTGTCATTTATTAAAGTTGAAAAGGATTTGTGATTCCATGTAACCTGTCTTGACATTATCCTCTAAGCCCCTAACCAGTACAAGCTGAGACTGCAGAGGGGGTAAGCCACACCCAGGGAGAAGCCTCTAACTCAGTCCTTCCACGAGCCTAGTTTTGGTGCATCTCCTACCAGAGCCTCCAAACAAGCACCCTGTGTCTCTGTTCCCCACTTTCCACCTCTCTCTTAGATACTGAGAGCAAAGAACAGAAAAGTGTCTTCAGTGAAGTTACTGGGATCATCGTTGTACTGAAACACAATTTGCACGTGTGTCTTCCATCTTAACAGTAATGAATGAAAAGGAATCTTCTTACCGTATTGACCCAATCATGTATGGCTGTGCTAGCTGAACCACGATGGCACCACTTCCTAGTTGATGACACGTATAGCCAGAATCCCAATCATAATTCTTGGTGTCCCCATTCAGCAAGGCATTTCGGCTCCGACTGACTCCTTCAATCACACTGGCACAATCAGCAATTGTTGCAACATTCTCCATGGGAACTGCAAATCCAATACAAGATTCAGCATCAAGATAAGAGAAGCCAAATATATCCCAATAGCATGCTATGAACAAAACTAATTAATTTCTATCTCAAATCAACGATAAAAGGGAAATTAGAATATCCTGATTATATCAAGTTAGGAACACATTTTCCATGCCAAATAGCTTCAAAAAAAAAAACAACTGAACCAAAGGTGGAATAAACCAAACCACATGTAGCAATTAACCCTACCTAATTTTATTATAAAGAAACACGATACCTCATAAAGCATAAAATGGATACATTGTGAGATATTACTACAATGGAAAAACTACACAGTAATTGAGATTAATGAACTAAAGCTACATGCAAATACATGAATCAAAAAACAATGTTGACCGAAAAAAAGCAAGGCACAGAAAAACACAGAGTATGAGTTCATTTATACAAAGTTAAAAAAAATGGCAAAACTGAAAATATACTTCGTTTAGGAAGGCATATGTAAATGTAAAACTAAAAACTCAGGATAATTTTTCTGGGAAGGGGAGATGAAGTCTTGGAGGGACCCCCAATCAACAGATCAAAACATTAATTGATTTCATTTCCAAAAGGAAATCTTGGAGGGGCTTTAAAAGCACTGGTCTTGGGCCAGCGAGTGGCTCAGTTGGTTAAGAGCTCGCTCAAGAGTTTGAGCTCTGAGCAACAGCAGTTCAATTCCTGGCCCGAGCTGAGCAGCCGCTGAG